ATTTGGCTACATTTAGTCACCAGGCGTGTGGAGATAATTGGGAATTACGCTTATTTTACCTGGCAAAAGTAGAAAAACAACCCACAAGCTTCTATATTTAAAGCACGAGGAGTCCGGGTTGTTTTATGAGACACGAGCAGTTCACCACTTAATTTAAGCAAAGTACAAAATGATCTTTTAAGGAACAAGCAATGCTTCATGTTGTTCAGACTAATCCGGAGAAGGAAGGAAGAAAAAATTCCATGCACCTTCATCGACATGAGGGAACTATGAATTGTTTTGCTGGACTGTCATGTTCTGTTTGATAAAATGAAAATCAGAGTCTGTCCCAGCTGCCTTAGGAACATGAGGCCTCCAGTAAATAACAAACTTATCACCTTATCTCACTGTTGTAAAGATAAGAAGTGCATTAAGCTGTGTTATTGAGGTTGCACGGTGGAAAAGCTTGTGTTTTATAGAGGAGCGATGCACTCGCTTTTAAACAGGCACCAAGATTTTATTGGAGGGGTTTGTCTGCGTTGTGTCTGATAAGTGTCAGCATCGTGAGAATAACAAAAACACGTGTTCGTGTTTGGTGTTTGTTTTTTTTCAGGTCCCAAAGCCCGTCGATTATTCCTCTCAACCTTGGTAGGTTCACCAAACAGCCCTCCCACTTTGTGCTGTTTTCACCTTCTTTTGTTCACATGTAGTCGGAGTTTTAGTCTTTTTTACAACTGGACCTGTTTGGCTGCTGTGCTGTAGGTTTGCAGGCCCTATGGAGAGGCTGCAGGCAGAGGCGGAGCTTATCAACAGAGTCAACAGCACCTACCTGGTGCGCCATCGCAGCAGAGAGTACACAGAGTACGCCATCAGCATTAAGTAAGTCTCCTACTTTGTGCCACTAATAAAAGATGCTACCTCAGATCCAGATTCGTGACAAAGGACAGTCAAGACTTGATTCTTGGCCCTCAAATATCAAATATCAGATCAAAGCTTTACGAATCATTGTGGAAATTAATTTTATTTCCATTAATTTTAATACATTTTAATGTTGAGCTTGTGAAACAAATTACGTGTAATCAGAGTATGTAAAGTCAGCTGGATATAAAACATTATTTGACTGTAGTGCCGAAACCTTGATTAATTGCTTGAATTTTACATCTTTGTATTAAATGTTATCGCTTATGAAAGCAGCTTCTAAAAAAAGTATCCACGAAAGTAAAAAACAAATAATTCCTTCATATTTTTCTGCAATTTTTGAGAGGGGAGCTTTGTAGTATATAGATTTTATTGTCTCTGTTTTACATGGCAGTGTTTCTTGCTCCACTGTTGTGAGATTCCTCTGATGATGCTTTAAGCCAAACCACAGTATTGACCAATTGAACTCCCAGCTTTGCTCCATAAGTTGACAGATCGATTTATAGTCCTTTGTAAGGATGATGGGCTTTTCCTCTGAGGTTGAGTCTGTGGTTAACCACAGTGATATGTGTGAGATTTACCAAACCAGATGCCTATCATGGAGCAGCTTCTGGCTTAAGGCACATGTAATAGTATTCATTATGGTTTGACCTAAAACCCACAAAACAGCCTCAGTGGTTTATAATTAGATGCATACAGCCATTTTAATCTTGGTAATGAGGAATTAACAAAGCCTTAGGGTGCTGGTGACCGTACTCATCTCTGTAACGTATCTCCGTGCTGTGAAAAGAGTCCCGTCATGTCCTCCTGTGGAGCCTCTGAGCTGGAATGCTTTCCTTAACAAGGAGTAAGCATGCTTCTCAGCAAGCAGTGGACACTCCTTTGGACTTAATTTGAGTTTTTTCCCCCTCAAAGGAAGGAGCGCTTTCATGTTCCTTTTACGCTGAAGTCTTAATTGCATGTATGCACACAGACACTGAGCTCTGAGTAGCACAGAAAATGAATAAGACTGTTCAAGGTCATTAAAACCTCCCCATGGAGAGACGCAGGGTATAAAGAGACACGTGTGGCTATGCGGCAATGACCACTGAAAATTATTACTCTCAAATGAAAATGCCCTCTGCTGCATTTCCTGTTTGTCATAGCAGAGCTGGCACAGGATTGTTTTTGATGATTTTGTCCAAATCGCCATGAGGCCTCAGTTACGTTTGAATTAGGCTGTAGCATTGTACCCTCTTATATTCTCCAGAAATAACACACAGTTCTGCCCGCGGAGAAGAGGGTTGGGTTTTTATTTAGCTCTGTATATAAATCATAAACTTGTATTATATTGCTAAAATCTTAAAATCCATAACCACATAATTTCCTCAGGGATTAATAAAGTTTCCCGTTTCTGATTCTAAAATTTCTGAGCACATTTTCAAACTGTTACAGGGTTATTTTTTTAACACTAACAGCTAGTACGATTGAAAATGTTTAGCTCTAGCGTGTCACTGTTTGATTTCATTGGATTTCAATTGAATTTTCATGGTTTGACAAAGACATTCAATTGTTACGTTGCTGAGACTAAGATGAAAAGCCCAATATTGTTGACGACTGCGCGCTACATATGTAGCTAAAGCTGAGCACGTTAGCCTAGCTTAGCGCAGGCTAGCATAGGATGTGTACCAGTGCTGTGTCACACTTCAGTAAGTGCGCTAAATACAGTAAATCCACCATAAATAGTTACTACACAACTTCAAGTCTTTGATGTTAGCGTAGCTTTAATAAAAGATGATACAGCAGGTTAATTATTAAGATTTGCTCTCTCTACGGTTTCATCAGTTTATAGAATAAAGTCACTCTTTAAGTTCTCAAGTTTTGCTGTTTCATCTGTGTTTGCACCAAAAAAGACAATTCTAAAAATACTGAAAGAATCGCACAACCTGAAACAACCGTCATCTGATTTCATGGAATTATGCACAAAAATGTTAAATGGAGTAAAAAATCCCTGATATTGTTGTCAAAGCACCTCTAAAAATGTTTTTTTTTTTTATTCCTGCAGCCTTAGACCCCTATCAGCCACCCTGTTAATGCAAACACGAACATGCAGCTTTCAGTTACACACATGCGCACACTCGCTCCTGACCACCCATCATTCACATGTCACAAACCTTTGGGATCCTATGCATTACTGCGACGGCCCGGCTCTCCACGGGGGCTAGGTGCCGGCCACCGATCGATGGCGGTGATCAGAGAGGGAAATTACACTCATAACTTATTCAATGGCCCACAGGTACAACAACGATGTGAAGCACATAAAGATCCTGACCAAGGAGGGCTCCTTCTACATTGCAGAGAACAAAAAGTTCAGGAGCATAGTAGTGAGTATTTTTCAGTCTTTTATTTTTTTTTAAACTTCCACCGCTGCAGTTCATAAATAAATAATCCTGTTCACTTAATGAAGTGTCAAAAACCTGAATTTTATTTCAGCAATGTGCACAAAAATAGCTATGATTAGAGCCATGTTTATACTGACCCGAGGGCTTCAGCCTTATAGAGTCCAGAGCATATTGGAAAGGTTTACCATTTATGTGCCAGTTACTGAGGTTTTCAATATAATATTAAGATACTGGTTGCAAAAGCTTTAAAGGTTAAAGTCAACCTTTATTTGCTATAACTGAGGGAAAATAAGAATCCTCTTAAGGACATAAATGTGTTGATATGATTTCAAAATACTTGGATGTGCGTTTGAATGTGTTCAGGAGCTGATTGAGTACTACAAACATCACTCCCTGAGAGAAGGCTTTAGGAGTCTAGACACCACGCTGCAGTTTCCTTACCGAGAAACAGAGAACGCTGCTATGCACCGCTTCAACCGATCCGGTGGCAACAGTGAGTATACCGAGAATGACCTAGAATGGAAATAATGCAATAAACTAAAACACCACATTTTTTCAAATGAAAGCAGTGCGACTGGACCCCAATACATCCTTCATGTTAAAGGCCATCGCAGTCAGAGAGGAGCTGAAGTAAAAATATGATGGTTGTTTGCTTTTGTTTGTCCAGTGGAGACTCACTCTCAATCGGAGCCTAGTGGCTCTCGTGACCAGTGTTTACATTAGCAGATTGTCTAGGGATCTTTAATTTCCTTGCATTTGAGGTACGACAGCAATCATCATACTAAACAGAGCAAATATGGCAATGAATGGTAAATGGACTGATTCTTATATAGCGCTTTTCTACTCTCTCGGAGTACTCAAAGCACTCTATACAACATGCCTCATTCACCCACTCATACAAGCACTTCTAAACTCAAGTGCAACCTAAACTACATTCATACTCCAATGAACGCATCGGAGGGCAACTCGGGGTCAGTATCTTGCCCAAGGATATTTGGCATGCAGACTGGGGAAGCCAAGGATCGAACCACCAACCTTCCGATCAGTAGCTGATCTGCTCCACCACCTGAGACACAGCCACCCAGAAGCAATGGTTGCCTAGTTTTTGCATCAAAGCAGACTTTAACAGTTGGTTAACCAAAATAGTTAGCAATTAAGTAATTTCATGTGCAGCCATGACTTTTTAAGTCTGAGACATCTGACAGCAGTACACGCCGTCAGCTCACCAGCATCAGTGGACTCACACTGAAGCCAGTCATTCTTTTGATTGTTAAGTTTTTTGTTTCATCCGGCAACACGCTGCTATTGCTGTTTCTGACGATTTCCCGCCATCTCTGCTCTTGTTTTCTCTTCTATTTTCTCATCTGTCATCCTTCACAGCTCTGTTACACACTGCTTCAATTCACACAGGAGGATCTTTTAAGCCCTGAAAGAACTGGATGGCTTTTTAACAACTGTTATAAACAGCCCAGTCTCCTGACTTTAATTGTTTTTGACTCGGCTGTCAAACGGTGGTTGGCAAGTCTACTAAGCATGTCATTAGATTTGATAACAGTCTCTGGCCGATTGCTGAAGATCAAATCAATTTGAATGCCAGGGGAAAAGAGGGGAAACCAGTTAGAACTCTAAACAAGTTTGCACTATTAATCTGACTTAAGTTTAAATGGAATCTATTTCTCGTCACTTTTTAAATCTGTGTTATTTTGGATGATCTATTTAAGAAAAAAATGTATGTTTCACAATTTAAATTCAGTACAATTCAGTTTTGATTATATAGCACCAAATCACATGTGTAAGGTAAAGACTCAAATATAACCTCAATATAAGAAAGCACTTGGCAATGGCGGGAAGGAAAAACTCCCTTTTAGCAGGAAGAAACGCGCAGCAGAACAAGGCTCATGGAGGGGCAGCCATCAGAGGGGAAAGATGAGAGAAAAAGGAGAGCACAGGGAAACAGGACAAAACAAAAACTACAGGAGAAAATTTTAATCACATGCTGCGGTGATGAATAAACACTAGGGGAGTGAAAAGATGGCGAGTGGAAAGGAGAGACTCGGTTTATCAAAGGAAGTCCTGCAGCAGTCTGAGCATCATAACTAAGAGAGGGTCACCTGAGCCAGCCTTAACTATAAGCTTTATCAAAAAGGAAACTTTTAAGTCTAATCATAAAAGTAGAGCGTGTCTGTCTCCTGAATCCAAACTAGGAAGCTGAAGTCTCTGCCTCTACCTTTACTTTAAGAACTCTGGAAACTCTACAAACTACAAGTTAAGCCTGTAGTCTGAGAGCAAAGTGGTACTATGAGGTCATCAAGACATAAAATGTTGCAGAAGTTAAAACAGTGTCAGTATAGATGCTAATTTTAGTCCACGAAGGACTTCTGTAGCTGATTCTGTATATTTCTTTAAACAATTTGAACATATAACATGCGTTATATAATATGATATAATATTAGGACTTTTATTTTTATTATTTTTATTAATTTTTACCCTAATCTATTTGTTATTTTAAGAGTAAAAATGATTTTTAAAAAATGCCGATAATAAGATAGCATTTCACATGGGAGTAATTGTATCGAACGTGGGATATTTCACATTATTTCACATGCCAGACAGCCAGAAACCTTTAAGCATCCTCACCGAAGACAACTCGTGAATGCGTCTAGGGTGACGATTTAAGCAGCAGGATTTCTTTTTCTACCCGTGTCATAATGAAAAAACGTGTGACATCTCAAGACTAAGCAGCTGTTGACGGCAACACTTCTGATAGGTTTGGGGCTGTACAAGAACACAATGATGATTAAGATTATTTATGTATGCAGCCGCTGCTTTGATTTATAATGAATGAATAAAGGAGAATGCAGTTTCCGATAACACGGTTTCTTCTTTGTAATTTAACAATTCGGTTCGACTCAGTTTTATTTATATAGAGCCAATTCACAGCAACGGCGCATTTATATTGTAAGGTAAAGGTCCACAACATCAGAAAGAAACCCCATCATATAGCCTCCTATGAGCAAGCACTTGGCAACAGTGGTAAGGAAAAACTCCCTTTAAACAGGAAGAAACTTCAAGCAGGCGTGGGGATTGTAACTGTGAAGAAATGTGTTTTTAGACAAAGACAAACAAAAACAAACAAGCTTTCGTTGTGGGAAAAGCTGGCATGCATAAATCTCTTTATCTTTGACTAGAAATGGGAAAAATTCATTATCGGGGGTTTAAATCCACTCAGTTAACTGATTGCAATCTTCAAACTGAAGTAGAGAGCAATCCTTGTCTTAAAAACCATAAATGTTTACTCCACGCAAGAAGAAACATAAATATTAAGCTCAGCACGCCAGGCAAAGCACCACTGCCCATTGACTGCTAAATGGAAAATCAACCAAGTGATCACAGTCAGTGGTAAAATGATGATTTCATTTGATGCCTGCATGCCGCTGCGTGCTTTGGAGAAGTCCCTGGCTTGCAGACGATCACGTTTCAAGCGGCAGAAATGTGAACAGATTGTACTGAGCTGTTTGGTTGTTCTAAAGCGGGGCCTGTTGTTCAAACTCAGCATCAAGACACAAGTTGAGACAGCTCCAATCCAAATTTGTTTTGGAGGGTTGTTGTGGTGTGCCCCTCTGTCTTGTAGGCAGCCTGCTCCCGGTGTGCAGACTTCATTTTTCTCGCTTTCGCTTTTAAACGACTCGTGTTTTGATTTCTACTTTCCCAAAGCACTGCTGGAAATCTCCCAATTAACGTTTGTGCTTTGTTTTTGTCGACTGCTTCGTAGTTAGAGAAACTGATTGATTGATATTTCCTTTTTTGCCCGTCGTTACAAAGGAAGAAATACTGGCGTTTAGTTAACTGAAATGTATCCGTGGTGTGCAGGTTTCTAACTCTCATCCTCATTTTGTGGGAAGCCGCAGGGTGTGTGTGTGTGTGTGTGTGTGTGTGTGTGTGTGCGTGTGTGCATGTGTGAGTGCGCTGTCAGTCTTCCTCCCCTCTATTATTCACCCGGCTCACATTGTGCATTCCGGTGTGGTCCACAAATCAGATTGTGCAAAAATGAAGCATGTAAGATGCAGCTGGTGTTTCGGTGGCTGTTTGAAGTGGAGCGCGATCCCTCTTCATATTGCTCGTACCTAGACACCATTAGGGGTTGCTGAGCTGTCTCTCAGTGCGCTGATTAGTATTCATTTTAAAAACCACTAGAGCCCTGCTCCTCTTACAGCATATCAATAACCCAGGCCAGTTAACTTGCCAGCAGTATTGTTGGGAGCGGCACATTTTTCATAAAGTTTGGGCATTTATCAGTCATTGCAGGGATTAGATTTTCTATTCCCACTGGCTGAAATGTAGGCTCCTGTGCAGAGGTGGCTTTAGAAACCCGAATGAGGGGTAGACTGGGGGCACGTTTTTAAAAGAACGGCAGCGGATTTGAAAAATGAGCAGAAGACTTGAATTTAAAGTGCTCGTTCTGTTCTGGGAAATAATGAACTGTCCATTGGTCATAATTACTTACTGTATGACATACACTATATTGCCAAAAGCATTCACTCCCCCAACCAAATCCCTGAATTCATGGACCTCCATGGACACGGATGTATAAAGTCAAGCACCGGGGCATGCAGACTGCTTCTACAAACATTTGTGAAAGAGTGGGTCTCTCTCAGGAGCTCAGAGAATTCCAGGATGGCCAGTCGTAATATTTTATCACTACTAAATATTCCA